CGTGAGGGCCCCGCGCGGTTCGAGCGCGGTGGGAGCGGCGCCAGGCTCCGCCACCGGCACCGACCCGCTCGGAGCTGAGGGGCGGCCGCGAGCGCGCCGTGCAGCAGCTCTCCGCTAGCCCGGGCCCCTGGGTCGGGGTCCTGTGGAGTCCCCCGCCCTGGCTGTGGTGCTGCCCGTCCGCCCGGGGCCGGTTCGCTTTTCGTGTCGCGTTGCGCCGGTCGCGGGCAGCGAGGCAAGTTCTGCGCGTTCGTGTGTGCGCCGGTCGCTTGTCGGGCTCCTCGCCAGCTGCACGGGACTGCCAGATCTCTGAGAATTTTTTGGCAAATAATGTATAGCAGGTTTTTCCAGATTTCATATATGGCAAGTCATGAAGCTTTTTGTACCTCATGAATGCATACAGAATTCCTTACAAAAGGGACAATTTGTTGCATTTATCTAGTGAACGTAGGAAGGAGTAGTGTGTGAAATGAATGTCTACATTTGGAAATTCAGGTTTTTTCTTTATTATATTTTTCTCCTTTTTTTTTTTTATAAATAGTTTTCATGCCCATTTAACAGTGTTTTAATATTAACTATTACTTTAGCCTTATCCATGTTACCAATGGAATGTGGTATGTGGACTTGCTCTAAAAGTGGTGCTCACGACGACCTGCTCGCAAATGTAGAGTCATTACAGAATCAGCTGAGGAGAACTGAAAAAAATCTACAAACTGTAGAAAAAGAGCTATCCAGGTATGAGTGTGTCTGGAAATGAGGAACTCCTGTCTCTTCTAGTGAGAGTCTGTTGTATTTTGTGTGGTGGATCAGTGCAATTAGCTCCTTTTGTGCTTTTCATTTCAATAGTTTTTATGAGCAACCTAATAAAGAAAAAAAGGAGTAGTGACTTTTTGCTCTCCCTCCAATCACTAGTACAAGTGAACATTACAGCCACTGCTTCGATGAGGTGATAGACGTCCCTCTGAAGGACTATGTACAGCCGAATTACGATTGTCAAGGGTTTTCCAGCTTGAAGAATTGTGGTAGAACATCTCGCCAGGATTTTCAAAGAAAATCCAAAGTAAATATTTCAGTTCATTTCTTCTTTTTATTACTTTTGCTTTCTATTCTTTGCTATGTTTTTCAACATTTTTGGTTGCTAGGCTTGGAGCATCAGACAGTGGTGTCAGATCAACACTCTTAAGTAGTATCACTTGAGTACATTTCTTTGGAGAAGTTTCCACTCCTGCCTTTCAGTACTCGAGGTGTGTAAGAAAGATAGGGACAAAGTTTTTAGCAGGTCCTGTTGCGACAGGACAACTGATTTAGATTAGGTGCAACAAGATGTAACAACAAGTGTTTTACTCTTGAGGGTGGAGCAACGCAGGAACCGGTTGCCCGGAAATGTGGTAGATACCCCATCCAAGGAAACATTCAAGGTCACGTTGGTCAGGGCTCTGAGCAAGCTGATCTACTTCAGGTTGTCCTTGTTCATTCCAAGGTGATTGGAGTAAACAACCTTTAAAGTTCCCTTTCAACCCAAATTGGTTTTGATTCTATGATATATTTTAATGTATATATATTTATATATAATAAAGTAATGTGTATATATATTTATAAATGTATTTTTATGTCTAGTCTTACTCAGTATCCACAACTTTGGATGAAAGTGTGGAAGAAAATGAACATCTTCAGGAGAAGTTGGATGCCCTTCATGAGCAAAATGCATCTTTGACTTCTCAGAACTACTACCTAAAGAACAGAGTGGAAACAATGAACTTTGAATTGATGCAATCAAAAACAAAAGTATGTATCTCTATTGTGTTCATCAAAGAGAAACACAAGCCCCAAAACAGCCAGTGAGCATGATTTTTGAGTTTATAATTCCAAGAATCTGCTGGGTTTTGTCTTATGTTAGTCTGTGTAAGTTTAATATTTAGTATATATTTAATAATCAGTATTAATCTTGGACAGGATAATTTGGAGTCTATTTCTCCGTGAGCAAAGTAACTATATTAATTACGAATTCCATATACTTATGTTCCAAAGTTTAGCCCAAAGACAATAAGCCACAGAATGAAAAATACACTATAAGAGAAAATAGTGCAGTCATGCATTTAATGCTGTACATTCACATGTCTCAAACATTAATGGGAATAATAATGGCACAGTAGTCATTTGTCTAGGAAATTAAAATAGTTGATCTCTCAGGTTGGATTAATATTGCTATTTTGAAAAAAAGTGAAGATGAGTTGGAAGGGAATATTGTATCTAATAAATTATTACTGATTTAATGTACACTTGTCTGTACAGGTTTGTTTCAGGACAACTATGTCCTTTTATGTGGTTTATATATAATATTAATATAATATAGCTGTCCTTAGTGGCTTTTGTTTGAAAAACGTTATCTCCAAAATAGTATAAATAGATTAGCAAAATGTTGGACTGCGTGACACTGAAAGAGTAGTTGGATATAAACTTCTGGGGAAAAGCAAGAGACAAGACTATAAAGAATATGTTATGCTAGACAGAATATCACACTGGAATGGGAAGGAATGTTAAATGAGCAGAAAATTTGAGTTAAGGTGGTGTAGATGAATAAACATAATTTAGAGTGGGGTTAAGAGCACTTTATTTCAGTAAGCAGATTTTTCTTCTGTTTCTCACCTGTATATATGCAAATGTTAATGAAACCCCAAATATGTTTGTATTTCAGATTTCATATCTTGAGGCTGCTTTAGCTACACATTTAGTCAGCATTCCAAAGTTGAAAGAACAGATTGTAAATTTGGAAGCAGAAGTTTCAGCTCAAGATAAAATTCTGAAGTAATGTGTACTTTTAAATCAATATTTTATTATTGTCTTCTTGCTAGTCCATTCTCTTTTTAGGGGTAACAATTTCTGGTACTGTGTGGGTCATGTAATCTGGGGTCTGGGAAACTTGAATTTCAGAGCCATTGATAGGAGGAGGGAGGTGGTTTAGTTTGTGCTGAGTGTACTTCAAGAAACTGAGAAAAAATAATAAAGACTGGTAAAAGAAACCAGTTTGTAATGTGTGCTGAATAGGAATGTGCCCTTACAACTGGATAGGGTGATTGTTTGCTCCATGACCACATATATTCTCTTGTAACAAGCGTATATATTTCTGAACATGACCATGTTCTTTGTAACATAAAGGATTCTTTCTCCATGAATACATTAATCAAGGCAAATGGCCAAATAAAGCTGATGTAAGCACTGTTCAGAGGTGTCAGGAAGATGTAAAAAAAAAAAAAAGGTAAAAATATTTATGTTAAATTTATATTTTAGTGTTCTTTCCCAGTCACACCTCTTGGCAGACAAAATATGATTTCTATGATCAGAGCTTGTGACACAAAGTCAGCTTTCTGGGTCCTTGACAGTTGTGACACTTGGTGCCTGCTGATAAGTCTTAGACACCACTCCAGTCTGCAGACATACTCCTGGGGAGTCTGGAGACTGTGGGTGTTTCTAACCTAGTTTTGAGAGTTACAGCATATTTGTCTGGCACTTCTGGAACAATGTGTGCACTAAAGAACAACAACAATCTATTTTTTTTACAAAAAGTTCTTATTTTTTTATTGTGTTTTGTCTATTTGCTAGAGATGCAGAAGATAGACTAGATCAAAATCAGAAAACAGCAATGGAAAGAGAACACATGTTGCAAAGATATCAAGAGGGCTATAAAAATCTGCAAATTGAATTAATTGAACAAAGCAAGCAAGAAAGGAGGTAATTGACTAATTTTAATAAATTAGCATAGAATAATAGAGCAATAAGTGTTTATTTCCATTGGAAGTTGTTTGCTTTGTGGAATCAAATTACTTTGCTGTTTTAAGGATGTTATTTTGAAAAAAAGGGGAAATTATGTGGGAAGGTACTGATTATTTAAATGCGCATGTCTAAAATTTTGAAATCAGTTGGTAGCTGCAGGCTGATAACACACACTAGTATCCAGTTTATCAGCTGTTTGGTTTTTTTCCTTTCAGATGTATTGCACTGGAAAACTTCATTGTGCAGAATATATTTTTCCTGAATTATTTTTGTCTTTGTCTTGCAAGAACCCGCAGTGTATGCTCAGTAGTTGGTATTGAGCAGTATTCCTTGGTGTGAGGAAAATGACAAAAGGACAACTTAAATCAGGAAAACATTTTAATGTTACCCTTAATCTTACCTGCCTATGTGATAACTGTTGAAAAGGGTGCTGTGGGTCCATCTCAATCCCCATTTCCCATTCCTATTTCTTCCTTTAGCCTAGTGGCTCTGTCAGTACTTGGGAGGATTAGGGAATCTGACTATTAGAAGTTGCTATGAACACTCCTATCACCTCCAAAATGTAATTTAAAGAAGTGAGTAGAACAAATTAAAAGATCCATACATTCCTTATTAATTAAACAGCATTACCTGGGGCAAAAAATTACCTGAATTCATGGCTTGGAAAAGCATTTCTTGAACCTTTTAAATGCAAACTATTTGTTTGACTTGTGGCTCTACCCATGAAATTACTTCTGACCTTCTTATGGCAAGAAAACCTGAAATACTGTGGGGCTTGCAATGCTGGTTGAAGAAATGTTTTGTTTTGTGATCGCTGTTCCTTCGGAGCATGTGGGGTTGGAACTAGCTGTACTTAGTAGTTGTAAATGTAAATATTTTTGTACTTCAGGAAAGCTGAGCTTCTGCCAGGTGTTAAGTGTGATGTTATGGTTAGTATCAACAATTATTGTGGTTTACTTTTAATCAGTAATTGCAACAGCTTACGCTTCTTTACCCAGGCAAACTGAAGTGCTTTAGCTTAATGCTTTTTTATTCTGAAATGCTTTTAGCCTCTTCTCTGAATACTTTTGCCATTTCCAAATGGGCACTGGTCCTCAGTGAGACACCGATCGGAGGGCTGGCTGTACTTAGATGAGGCACTGCCCCATCCCCAGCCCCCTTCATGGAAGAAAGAAATGTTACTGTGCAGCAGCAATTCTTGTGTGCCTGTATTGGCTGTCCTGGACAGACTGCATGCCTGAGCTGTGCTGAGGTTACTCTGCCAGCTTCTTCCTTAATGAGTAATGACAGGGGAAGGGGCAGTGGAGTGATAGAGGGGAGCAGTGGGGAGCCTGGGTTGTTTCTTGAAACAGAGTCTCATGTGATATCTGGGGCTTGGAAAGTTGGAAGAAGAAAGGAAGTACCTGGAACAATTACAGTAGTAATTGTTTTATCAACTGGAGAAGATAGTTACATTAATGACTGGAATTTGTGGGTTTTAAAATTGGTTTGCATCTTTTGCTTGGCAGAGCACATCAGCAAAGAAATGAAGCTTTGTTGAATGTGGAGGAGCTGACAAGAGCTTTCACAAAGTGTAAAGCAGAAATAACTGAAAAACTAGAAAGGGTGAGAGTTTTTTCTTCACTTGTATTTACCATGGTGTTAAGATATTTCTTCCAATAGGCCCAGCAGCTAATAGCAACAGTTCATCAGTGAGTCAGTTGTTTCCACTTGTTGGTGGCAAAGTCCTAAAAGAGGTGGGACAGGGTAAGCAACTGTTTGTGGTGATAAATTCAGTTATATAATTTTATACTGTCTTTGCACAGTCTGGATCTTTGGAGTCTGCATCTTTGGAGTATCCTAATACTGCTGCTGTTTCTTATTGTCTCCTGCTTGCCAGCTGGAAATTTTACATTTTAAAAATACAAGATGCTTTTAAAAGCTCTTTTCCTCCATATGTATAAGCTGCTTGGTGAAACATGTGCTGAAGAAGAGCTAAGATGAAAATGAAGTAATCACCCTAAGTTCTGATAATCAGAATTGTTAATCGTTCCTGCCTTGTGGGAGGAAAACATACAGTTAGTTCTTACAGAGTTTTTTTTTGTTAGACTGCTTTCCTTGTAGAGCAAGGTTGCCAACCTCAAATGTGCCCTAAAATATTAAGTTAATTTTTTCCTAAATGACAGGAAAAAAAAAACTTCTTTGCCTCTTCTTCACTTCACAATAGTGACCAATAGTGTTATCTACTGACTTACAGAAAGAGCATAGTGTTCATGACATTATTTTAAAAATAGCCTCTTGACCATGGAAGCTTAGTTTATTGCTATACAGTAATGACAAAAAATTGTTTTTTAAGGCTAAAGCTGAAGAAGTAGTCTTGGGAGAACGTTTAATTAATTGTGAAAAAGAAAAAGAGAAGTTGAATGAAAAGTGTATCAGCTACCAAAAGGATCTACACATCCTAGAAGAGCAACTAAGGTAACACAAAGGCTTTAAAAAATTCTCTGCACGTTTATTTTACAAGAAATTGGATGTTGCAATTGTCACTGTGAATGTTCTGCTCAATTCATACAGTTCAAACCAATGCATTTCTACTTATTTTCTGTAGCTAATTTTTAAACATTTTAATCCCACATGCTGCCCCCGGCTCTCAGGAAGAAGCTCCCCCCCAAGCCTTCTGGGGCAGTGGTTCTTTGGCTCACTGGCTGCTCCTGAGGGCAGAGGGCTGCCTGGTTTGCTGGGTACGTGTGCTCTGCCCCTGGGCTGCTCCCCCTGGGGGTCCCCTTGCACTGCCAGCTGTGGGTCCCTGTCTGTTGTATACCACGTTGTCAGTCCCTAGCTGGAATGAGGGATACTGGTTTTGACTGCTTTCCATCCCAACTCCAACTGTTACAATTTTTAATATTCCTGTATGTTTCATTTCAAGCTGAAGCCCCCTTTTTTTTCACAAGTTCCTTGGTAGTTCCCTCATTGCTTTAATGAGGGAAGGCAACCATGAGCTGGTTGTCTTTAGAATTGTTAGGTTTGGACAAACACCTGCACAGACATTTTTGAGTTACTCAATTTACATGCATTGTCCACACTCACATGCCTGTCTTAATTGTCATTCTTTAGTCCATTTTAGCAAGAGTGGGCAGTGTATAAACACCCTTACATTAGCTTAAGTCTCCTGAGTAAGTCTCTGCTTCTAGTAATAAAAATACCTTTTAAATGTCTTTTTAGACAATTAAAGAAAGAGAATCACAACACAAAAGAAGAAATTAAAGCTCTAGAGGAAAAGAACACTGAAATGACAGTAATGCTGAGTCAGTCTGATCAGAAGATCATCAAGCTTGAGAGTGAACTTTCTGAAAAAGAAATAGTACTTAAAGAGAAAGATGCTCTAATAAGTGAAAATGAAGAGCTGACAGCACTAACTGCACAGCAACATAACCACTTGAAATTATGTCGTCAAGAAATAGAGGTTTCAAGGGAAGAGCTCAATATACTAGAAACCATTATTTCTCAGTTGTCTTTAAGCCCATCTGAAGAGGTAGAGTACCTGATATAGTCTTAACAGTGCATTATGTTTTGAATAATTTTAAGGATTGAGTTATCCAAACTTTTAATATCCTGATTATATGTATCTTAAAATTTATATGTCAGTATAATACATGAATTAAGGATGCAATAAAAGGTGTGAAGCAATAAAAGGTTGATTTTTCATTGACCTTTATATTGTGTTAACTTTTAGGGTAAATGGCACCCTTTCAAACAGCAGCTATTGAGTTCCTCAGCAGAAGCTACCTCTGAATCTTGTGGTGAATCAAGTAAACCTTTGATTGCAGATCTAAGGTATAGCTTTCTGGTTACTGAACTATGGCAAGAATAGGCAGATAATAAGGTGCTATTAGAACTAGAACGTAGAAAGAATGTTAAATAGCTGTCTCCTCCTTTATAATAGCATTAAACTGGCAATGAAAGGAGCAGAAATTCAAAAGCCTGGTGAAAACTTAACTATCTGTACTGGAGCTGATCATCTTGCGAATGGTAATGAAGGACAAGAAGACAGCAGGTTGTGTGACCTGGAAACAGAACCTGTCAAATTGATCAGAAATCCAGGAGGTAAGCTTGCTGAAATAGCTGTGCAGTTCTGTCCAATTAATCCACAGAACAGAAATGTTCTGCAGGGGTTCAAGTTGGTTTTACAGCAAGTGTGCTTTGGTTGAACAGAGAATATTTTGCCACCTTAGAAATTGTCATGTTCTCCGGAGAATATATTTCTTTATTTTGCTGCTTAAGTTACTTAAGCAATACTTACTTAGCAATAGCTGAGCTAGGAGTTGTGTTGAAAGGGAACCATGTATTTTTTTCTTTGTGCAGGTTGTGCTAAAGTCTATGTTTTTGTTGATTATTTTCTCTGTATCCTGCTGTTACAGTGTTTCTCTGATTGCTTTTGTCATTACTGTTTGGATTGATCCATGAAATTACATCAGGACACTTATCTTTATTCTGTTTGTTGGTTTCTTGGGGTTTTGTTGGGGTTTTTGTTTGTTTTCATGAGTCGCTGCATAGTTAAATTATGGGTTTGCATGTGCTTTTATAAATTAATCTTAAATTTATTTTTTTCTACTTTGAGAGAGGAGAAAATATCAACAGTTGGAACTTATAAGCAAACAATTTGAAAAGGTGAGGCAAAAATTCCAGAAAGAGGTAGAGGAGTTACGCACTAAACTGATAAAAGCAGATGAAGAGAATTCTGCCTTGAGGACCAGCATGGCTCAAAGAACCAGTCAATTTCAAATCATACAAGAAGACCTACTGAAGAAGGCTTCAAAAACTAATAGCTTAGAGAGAGAAGTAAGTTTTTAATAGCACTGTTTTCTTCAGTTCAGTAATCAAAGGTAGTGAAGGAAATAGTTACAGAAAAACTGCAATTGCCATATAATTTTGAAATCTGATTAATCAGAGAAAAATTCAAACTAAACTTTCCAGCAGGCAGAAAGAATTAGCAGCCCTAATTTGTTAGTTTTCAGAAATGCTGTTTTAAAGCTGGTGTATTTAGTAGGCTTTTCTGCTACTACTTTGATTTGTTATTGAAAAATACACACAGCCTTGTTGCTCTGGTGTGGTTGAATTGATGGGTAATCCTAGGAAACAGGCTGAAGGAACAGTTGTATTTTACCTCATTGAATGTTACTGTAGTTGCTAGAGATGAACATCATTACCAGAGAGTCACCAAAGAAAAAAATTAAGCTTCAGCTTTTCTCAGGGTAAATAAATTAAATTGTAATGTTTCCATTCTGGTGCTAATGTGTTGTAGAGTTTAGCACAATGAGCTTTGCAGTTATTTCCTAATAATGAATGTAAATGTTATAAATATGTAAAACTATGACATTGATAATTAATTGGATAAATTGTAAGTAAATTGTCCTGAATCTTTTTCTGTAAGTAATATATGGTTCAACAAAATCAACCAAACTACTTACTAAAAGTACTATAGTAGTAGCTAAAATGGAATTGGTGATAAGAAAGTGCATACAAATATTTGAATAAAACTAAAACAGTTGTCTATGGGCTGTTTTGTGCCATATTTAATTTCAGATAAGAAAGAAGTCTTCTCAGCTTTCTGCACTTGAGAAACAGTTGGAAGAAAAGACTATTGCTTATTCCACTGCTGCAGAAAGAAATGCTGAGTTGGAACAGGAACTCATGGTAAAATATTCTCAGTGGGAATCCACATTTATATAAAAAGACATAAAAGTTTAACTTGACACTAGTATTCCCTGTATTCAAAATGTGTGGACTTTCAAATTTTCTAAATAATCAGTGCAGATTTTAGGAATGCAGATTTTAAAAACTGAATCTTGTTTGAAATAAAACATCCTTTTTTGCCTGCCCTTGCATGTGGTAAGTTATTAAAGAATGTTACATTCTCCTTGTGGCCACACGTGCAGTGAAGGTCTGGCCCTGTTGAATTCCCATTTGTTTCAGTGAAATACATGTAGATTTGTAAACGAAAAAGTCTTCAAAAGTGTATTTTAAAGATTCCATCTATCCATATGAAGATTGAGTTTCTTTTTGTCTTTGTCAGGAGTTGTTACCTGTGCCATAATCCACCTTGGCAGGCGCTTCTCTGTAGTGGCTGCATTTACTGACATTCTGTATACCTGTGGTATAGGTGTGACATCCTTTGAGATGACACATGCTCTGTGTAACTTCAGAATTGTGTTTGCTGTTCCTTTATGAGATCTAGAAACCAGGTGATCAAATAAAACACTGTTTAATATCACAGCTAAATGTTTTTATTGAGTCCTTTTATTTTGGCAATTCCCAGGGAAAAAACAGATGCATTCATGAGCTGGAAACGACTATCAGTGAAGAACATGAGAAAATAACTTCTGCTATTGAAAATGAAAAGTTGCTTCACCTTGAGCAGCACAAAGAAATGGAGAGACAGATTGACCTAGTAAGACCTTTATCTTGTAGTAGTGTGTATGACTGTTATATTTGGTATATTTTCCCTATATTAATTTGTCTTGTAATTTTGATACACATCCATTTAAAAAGTTATGTTAAAAAGCTCCTTCTTTTCCTTACTTTCCCTGATATTAGTACATTTTCCACCTAACTAGCTATACAACTTTCCCTCTGAAATATTCATATCCTGCTCAGCTGAAGAGAAATAAGGACTTAGGAAGAGTAGTGTTGTTCTTTGCTCCAAACACACACACACACACAAAAAAAGTATAGCTCTAGTTTTTTGGGTTTAAAGCATGACAGCTTCTAAAAATGTTCTCGTTGGCTGAACCTCTGCCAATCTGAGCCTTATGGGCATCTGTTGTTCTGGGAGACCCGTTGGGAGGTTTTCAGTCTCTAGAGAAGTCTGTTTCTCCATGTGACTAGAAATATAACTGATTATTTCGAGCTGTTTAAAAGCTTCTCATCTTTTAGTAAAGAATGTATTTATGTCTTATTGTCTTGGCTAGTGACAGACAATTACACTCTGTCTGCCGTCATTCTCATCTGGATTTAAGATCTTAAGTGATTGGGATTTCTGGATAATTTTAAGACTGTGCAATACTGTCAATGGCAGTAATGTATTTAATTTTCATTATAATAATGATGGGTGAATAGAACTGAATCACATATTTAGGTGAACAAATTCTTATTAAAATAAATTACGATTTGCTTACGGACAGCTTCAGACACAGCTGGAGACAATGCATCAACAATACATTGAACAAGAGAAAATAATATCTGTGTTACAACAAGAGGTTATACAGAAACAGCATCACATTGAATCACTGGATGAGCTGCTAATAGGAAATAGAGAGGTAAGGTTGGCTCTTGACTTTGTTTAAATGCAAATCAAACAAGTGACTAAAAATAATGAAAAGTGTGTCCATAAATACATGGAAAGATTGAGAAAAATGAAAGATGTTTATGTTTTTGCTTCTAAATTCTTGTTTGAGTGATTGACTGAATCTAGTGTAGTCACCAATTATTGCTGCTACTAATATATTGTACAAATTTTAATGACCTTTCAGTATTTTCTGTCTTAGCATTCTCTTTATGCCTCTGGATTGCCCCTTGGGTGACTCTCTCTAATGAATGGAAAGATATCTGGATCAAGAATGATTGCATCAATCCTGCACTAGGTGGAAAAACAATAATGTTCTAGAATGATAATGTTTTGTTTCTTTTAATAATGCCTGCTGCTGCAGAATATGAAGAGACATCTCTCAGCAACCAAATTGAGTTCAGAGTATCATGTACATATATATTGTAAAAGCAATTGTGTTTTAGATACACTGATCTGCACTTCTTTTCCTGATTCTGATTCTGGGTTTTTTATTAAATACTTACAACTTTATAACATTAGATTAATGTTATGTAATATTTATATTTGGTTCTCTTGAATAAAAATATGTGTAAAAACAGGAAATGGAAAATCAAAATATCAAGAAAGATCAAGGACTGAAGATGCTGGAAAGTCAATTAACAGAAGAAAAAATCAAAGTTAGTAAGCTCTCTATAATGTTCAAGTAATAGTTTTAAAGGTTGCATTAACAGTGTATTTCCTTTAATCTTTTATAGAAAAACTGTTCTATATAAATGTCTTAAGTTCATATTCTAGAAGTCATTTATCAGAAATATTTCTTTATTTTCTGTTGTTTAATTTTGTTTTGTTTTCTTTTTTTTTAATTAAAAGTAGTATGATGAAACCTGAAGTAAGAGATTATGCAATGCGTAATTGCTTAATGCAATTACTGTAGTTACAAATAAGGCAAATTTGTGCTTATGGTACTCTTAAAGTCCAACATTGTCTCATAGACCTAATGTTATACGTGCTTTTGGTCTAAATATGGAATTTATTTTAGATATATATGATCCTACAATGTTGGTCATGTTTTTAGCCATCTCTAGCTCTTCCTAGTGTTTGACTGATAAGCATTTTCCATGCAGCACTTGTAAAAGGATTTTAATAAACCAGTGCAGATCTACCCCAGTCAGGCTTCAAAGTATTAAATCTTCAGGATATCAGTGGGAGAAGATCCCAGGGACTTTGCTATTTTCATGTGCTTTCTGAGCTTGTGTTGGACCAATTCTCTATCCTAGTGGCTTTGTAGTATTTGGGATGTTTTCCAGAGACTTAAAATTAAGATATGTAGTAATTTCTCTTCAAAAAGCTCTTGAGTCAGCTGGGGATAGATACACAAAGTCAAGTATGGTTTAGAAAACTGGCAGTCTGATTGCAAAATTGAAAGAATTAGACATTGTGCAGCTAAATTCAGGACAATACTTATTGATGAGAAATCCTAGCATTGAAACCAAATGGTTAAGAAAAGCTTAATTACTATGCCTTAAGATCTCTGGGGGTTTGTTTGTTATAATTTTTATCAGTTCAAGGTTATAAGGTGTTTGTTAGAGATTACTCAAACCCAAATGAGCATTAAAAGTGTAAAATAGATTTACAGTGTTGACATTGTTCAAAGCTTTTCCCTTCTCATCTGGTGAAATTCGGGCACTGTCTCCCAGAGCAGAAAGGGAAATTGTGCTGCTTGGTAACTTTTTGAAAATAACTGTTTTAAGATGTGAGTTTTTTTTTTTAAAAAACATGTGTGTCAACTCACTTATGATGATAATTCCAAATTTATTTATGCAGTTCTATATGTAATAAAACATGATGGATTAATGATTTGGTATTGACCCTATGTTTGCTTTTAAATTCTAGTAACTGACTGGCATTTCTCCTCATAACTGAAAGTCTCATCTGATACAAACACAGTCTAAAGTATTATAGTTTTGAATTTTGCAAATAATTTTAATTTTTGAAGACTGTTTCAGTTTAAAGTTTACTATAATCTTCCATTATTATTTTAATACTCTTACGATAAAAATGTAGCTTTTCGGATGTTTCACACAAAGCTGTCTTTTAATACAATTTTTAGACCAGTTAATACAAAACTTTTAAATTTTAAATAATTTTAAATAACTAAATAAGTAATTTAAAATAATTATTGCATTCACCTAGGTACGACAGCTTGAGTCAGCACTAAATGTTTGTAAGGAAGAAGTTGCGCTGTATTTGAGCCAGTCACAAGAAAATAAACAGATGTTTGAAAATCATCTGAAAGAAAGGTCTGAAGAGGTAACAGGTTGTTTTACAACTCTTGCAGAGAACACTTGTTACGATTGATTTAATCTAAAAGTTTGTGAAATAACAGCCAAAATTCGCAACAGGACCTGTGAATGGGAAGTAAACTGGGAAAAAATTATAGATTTTGTGAGGGCAAAGGGGAAAATCGTAACTCAGAAACTCTGGGTAAGTTAGGGAAAAGCAGCACTAAGATAAATGAATTGTTGAAAGAAGTAACAAAATCAGAATAATGTGAAACAAAGCATTATCTTGGAAAAAATGGAGAAAGCACTATTGCAATATAAATTTAAGTGCACAAAATTGATCTGTTTTTCAGCTATCTTAATGGGGAAGAAACCCTGGGCATAAAAAAATGTTTACTTCTAGACCCTGAGTTTTATCATGTTTTCCACTATTACTTGAAAGAGTTAACTTTAAATATTAGAATTAATTTATTTTTTTTTCTGGGTGAACTAATTAATAGTAGGCTGATAATGTCAGTGCTGGCCTTCCTGCTGAGAGCTTTAGTCAAGTGGAGATTGCTGGACCCTGTACAGGATTAGCTTGATGGAAGTTGTGTGGTCATTGTCAGACACAAGCCTATGATATTTACTGCTGCTTCCTAAGCCCTAAACCCTGTTGTTCTTATACTGCACATGAAGGATCTGGATGCTGTGTGAAACATCAAGTGTGGCAAGTGAGGCTTTATAATTGTGACCACTTTCTCATAAATAAAGTCCAAAGTCCAGTTACTACTTCTCCTCTGAGTGAGCAGTTAGTGATTTCTTTTTGATTTTTTTTTTTCCAAGAACACTCCCCCTTTTTTTATTTTTATTTTTTTCGCCCACCCAGAACAGTTCCTTCTTGTATTGACCACTGAGAAACCAGACTATTCAATATAAAACAAGTTAGGCACTCAAAATTCCCTTTTTTATTGGAATGACTATTGTCATGCAGGCAAAGAGAAATAAAGGGGAGGATTGAGAACAGAATCTCAAGGGGAAAACAAGGACTTAAGAAATAAAGAAGACTGGTAGAAAAAAAAAGCAGTTCTAACTAAAAATCTGCTATGTATGTTTTTAAAATACTGAGAAGTTATATTTAGAAAGCAAAAATCAAAACCTGTGACTGACTGAGAAGTTACTACTTTCCTCACTTTAGAGCATAACTCAATGATGAATTATGAAGTCTGTTACGTACTGTTGAAACTGTAATGTAGCTAAATTCAGAACCAAAACTTTTATTGAATCACAAGTGTGATTCTGTGTTCATTATGAGAGAATAGCTGATGCAACTGCAAATAAAATGTTTTATTGTAATGGAGAATAAATGTCTTTTCAGCTTCATTATTTACAGAAAGAAATAAAAATAAAAGGTCAGAATATTCAGGACATGAGTGAACAAAACATTCTCTTGCAACAAACTTTGCATCATCAGCAGCAAATGTTACAGCAAGAAACTATTAGAAATGGGGAGCTGGAAGATAATCAAATTAAACTGGAAAAACAGGTATGGTGAGAAGTGTCTACGTATATAGAGGAAATTAAATGCCTTGTATATGTTTTCATAATACCTATAAAATGGAATATTTTTTGATAACTGAGTTGATAATTATTATTTAGATATATCTAAAATAAAGAGTTTAGTAGCTTGTTTTATCTTAATCCAGGTTCTGAGCTATCAAAAATTCTAGTTAGCATTAGAATGGGCTAGGTACTTGGAAAATCAAACCCTAGACTGCAGTTAAGGAGAGGTGCATTAATTCAGAAAGTTGCATCTTATATTTGCTAGAAACTATTTGTCTTTCAAATGTGCAGAGTTTTAGTTTTAAATTGTATACAGACTATAAAGAAATCTGTTGTGTAAAAACTCTCCCTATGTGAGTTGCAAGACAAGAATGTGTATTTCTTTTGTATGCAATTTGAAAGTACTCTTTAACTGCCATTTTAAATAGGTATCCAACTTGGAAAAAGAGCTTCAGAAACAGAAAGCATGTGCAGAAGATAAGTTGAGAAATGTGGAGGAGAAACTGCGCCTAGCTGCTCACGAAGCAGATTTAAACAGAAAGAAGGTGGATGAACTTAATTCTACAATCAGGTAGGTTTAGTGTAGGTGAGAGGTGTATTCTGAACACGGGCATATGGATCAGAATGTTTTCTGTCTGAAATGGTGTTCAGCTGTGGGCTTACACTTCAGTCTCTGTGAGCACAGACTGGAAATCAGAAGGGAAGCTTCTGACTAGCAGAGGCACGACTTTCTGGAACACTTTTCCAGTGGAATTAATGCATGTCCTGGCAACCTATTTAGCCTTAAGATAGCGCTTCATAAAGCAGCTCAAATCATAACTGTATCAGCTTGCTTGTAATTGTAGATAGTACATTCTACAGGAGCTTGCCAGTCTTAAAGAATATAGCTTTGATTACAAGAAAAGCCTACTTAACATGACTTTTATTTCTGTTTTAGTCACAAGCACTTGTCTTAGAGTGTGTTATTCCATGGTTCATTTTGCTCTGGTTACTTCTATTAGACAGATGAAATTGGAGATGGCTCAGTGCAAGAATGAACTTACTGGCATGGAAAAAGCAGCAGTCCAATTAAAACAAGATGGTGCAAACAAAGCACTGCAGATAAATCAGTTGGATATCACTCTGGAAGAAGCAAGATCAGAGCTCAATAAAAAGGCAAACGAGGGTAATTTGGCTATTTTGTTTCTCAGGCTTCCTTTCATTGAACTATTCTTCTGTATGTATTAGACAGTTTTCCTCCCCCTCCTTTCATAATCAAGTACATAAGAGTCAAAAAATGATAATCTCTTTAAGCCCAAACAAAACCAAACCCAAATGAACAACACCCCCACAACCCAAAAGAATCACAAACATTTTTCACATGCTTTTGCAAATTCTTGCTTTTGTGGTGTATACCTTCACCACAGGTGAAATGTATAAGTAATTTCCCTGTAAACTGATAATGCAGATTCTTAATGTAATAGTCAAATTATACACTTAGCTTTAATAAAGGTATATGCTATTCAAAAAATGCATCCCTTTGAAACATACAGAACATCTCTATGGAAATAAACTTTCCAATCCATCTTCTTCCATTTAGTTTAATTGTATCATTGTTTTAAGCCAGAGAAATACCAGCAATTCTGCTTGCACTTTCCTACCACTTTATGTTCAGTTACTATACTGTGTCTGTACTGTCTCCTTTAGATGTCTTTAGATATATCCTTACGTTTCAGATCAATTGTTGATTATGAACTGAATAAAACTAGCAAATACTTAGGCCCCATATTTTTTTTTTTTTAAAAAAAAAGTGGTCACTGTTTTTCTAGATTGTCTTAAAAAATAGTGATACTGAAAATTTATTAAGACCAAAAGTGCTACTAGGCAGTGATGTTGCATGAAGACTGATGTACTGATGATTAAGCATTCTTTTTTTGTGGTGTAAAATAGTGAATGATTTTGAAGATAAGCTGCTTCAAACTGAGACTTGCCACAGGAAAGCCTTACAGAAAATAGCAGAACTGGAATCTGCATTACAGAATGCTTGTGGAGAATTAAAGATCACTTTAACACAGCTTCGGGAGTTGCAAGATGCATTACAGAATGCACAGTCCTCCCTGGAGGAGAAGAACATTGCTATCATGGATCTAACAACTGAGCTCAGGTGAGCTGGTATCTTTTCCATCAAGAGAACTTAGTTATGTTGGTTATTCCTGAAGAATAACAAGTAGTTTGGATGGGGGATTTTAATGTTCTTATGTTCTTATTCTTTATTCTTATAGAAAGCAGCTCTCTGTAATTTTTAGATGGTTTGTGTCCATGAGGTAACTTGATACTTGAGATCCTCAGCTCATTTTTAATTATTAAAAGTGGTGCTGAATTCTTTTTGGGGAATTCTGTTTTAAAATATGCTAAAATTATTTTCTGAATCTTAAAGCTATGAAGTAATCATGAGAATAGACTGATTGTCCAGTTTCCTTTCTGTCACAAATTAATGATACTTTCTTTTTTAAAGAATCCTGATATAGCCAACTAAGTAATTTGAATAATGAAGTTATTAGGAATTGCCCACCTGGAGTGTAATCAACAGAATTATTCTATTTGGCTTTGTTTCCTTGCTATCAATTCACCTTTAGGGTAATATGCTTTAAGTAGGTAATAGATCTTGTGATTTTCAAGCTGGGTATTTGAAGCCAAGCAACTGAATGTTGATTAAGCAATTAAATGTATGAGAATTTCAGGTATTGCAAGGATGAAATTGAAGACAAAAAGCAGGAACTCCTTGTCATGGACCAAGCACTGAAAGAAAGGAACTGGGAGCTGAAACAAAGAGTAGCTCAGGTCAGATAATTTTCAAGCATGTTACTGACAATTATGCCTGTTCTATAGTAGATAATTTATAAAAAGCCTGCTAGGTTCGGTTGCTTTGATGTATTGTCTCAAACAGTACTGGTTACTACAGCCACAGTGCCAACCTCAAACCAGCTGTATGTTGCTGAAGCATTATGTACCAGGAAAATCAGAAGCCTTATGCCATGACCAAGATTCTTCATTAGTGCTAAAGTTATGGGACAACTGTTATTATCTTGATGTTTGCTAAGAGGAAGGAAAGATCTGTACTGGAGGGTGCTTGGAGATGATAGATTCCTTTCCTTGTTTGCACTGAAGCATATTTGATTCACATTAAAGCAGCCCCTAAATAAGAAATTATATCTTTGTTGTGAATAAATTTCTGTAGCTCACTTGAAATATTTTCAGTCTTTTGGTCTGGCTTCAGGATTTGATGCCCCTCATGGGAAAATTCTGCTTCTGTCATTTTATTATAAGCCTCTTCCTGAAGGAGTTACCAGCCTTTGTATTCAAGAATATTTGAGGTGCAGAGAAAAGGAGTGAGGATTTGAATAGATCTGTTTAAAGAACTGACACTGTAAGGAGGCCAGATCTTGCAATGTATTTTTGCCACAGTACCCTGTGAACTGCCCCAGGAAGTCATCAAAGCATTTGATGGATTGAATTTTTTTGGTTTGGCAAAATTTGGCACTTCCTAACAAGGTGGATTGGTATAATAAACTACACATGTTTCTTTGAAAAGGAGAACTAGGTTTGCATTATGTATATATGAGGACCTAATATTTTATTTAAACATATTTAAACATTTATGGATTTTTCCCAATTTCCCCTTTTCTTTTTATGTTTAGCCACTATTTAAATGAAATAGTAGGAGGTAGCTTTATATTGACTACTCGAGAGAATATGCTTGAGGCTACAAAGGATTAATTTCATTCATTTTGCTCTCATAGTTTGTAATATGGCATAATATTATCTGCATATTAGTTCAAAATAAAATATTTCCTTTTCTTCCATTTTACCTCTAGATTACACAATTGGATATGACAGTTCATGAGCATAAGGGAGAAATGGAGCAACAAATAATTCAATTGCAGTGCAATTTAGAGAAGTCAGAGTTGGAAATTAAGGAATGCAATAAACAGGTAATTCTTCTTCATCAAAAACACAGTTTCCCTAACAAAGAGCAGCTAATTCTATAGAAAGTCTGGTCCTGGGACACAATAGCTGGCCAAATTTAATCTAGAAGATAAAAACTCTTCTGTATTGTAGGGAGAGGGAAGGAATGTACCAGTAAAAATAAATGTTCGTCAATTGAAACTATAGATTTTGCAAGGCTATAGCAGTCCAAAAATGAAAACCCATTTTTCACTTGATATGATACAGATCCCAAACTGCTCTTTTAGTAAAGGAAAATTTAGACAAAAACAAAAAACTGACAGAGGAATCCAAAGTCAGGGTTAATACTGACAATATTTGTGAATTTTGTTTGTTTTGTGTATGTTTGTTTTTTTAATAAAATTGTTCTGACTTAGGTAAAATATTGGTTCTGATTTAATTGCATTTTCTGTTCAGATTGAGAGCTTAGAGAAGAAACTCCAGCATTCTAAAGATGAGCTTCGTGAAAAAGAGTTTGAATTGCTCCAGAGAAATCAGGAAATAAATCAGCTGAAGAAAAAAAAATGAAAGAAAACAACATAGCCTAGATGCTCTTGGAAAGGTAAAACATACCTTGGATAGACAACATATTATCAATTTTTAATGCCACTACTGTACTGCCTAGAAGAAATTATAGGTTGTCTCTTTAGTGTAAATGTCATTACTTCTCCCGGAATCCTTGTATTTTATAGCCTGGTGTTTGCTGAATCTTAATCCCCTAAAGTGAAACTAGTTGAATTATTTTAAAATTACAAATTTAATGGTACACTCTTAATTGTCTGCTTTCTGTGGAGAAATTTGATTACTGATTATCTTTAGGGACCTGATTTTCTGGCTATGATATGATGTGGTCTTTGTTGAAATTAAACAAAGCAATATATGACTATAGCTTCTTATGGCTTAGGTACCTATCTTGTGAAAATTAATTGCATCAAAGACCTGTGCTCTATCATGCTTGTAGGAATGAGAAGTGAGAATTTTTTGGCATAATGAATAGGAGTGTGTGGAAGGACTTGAGAAGACAGCTAACTCTGTGAATTGTACAAATCCTTGGTTTGGTGCATGAATCAATCTCTACAGGTACAAAGGGGATCTGAGATAAACAGGCTTCCTTGCAGAAATAAGTTCAGTGAAGGATGATTCCAAGCTACAGCTAAACACCAAAGCCAAGATGGCCTCTGCCACTTTAGTTATGCTGCATTTGTGTGTTTGTTTTCCCTGGGGTGAGATATCAGAGAAGCCTCATTTCTGTGTGAACACCAAAGGTGTTTGGTCTGTATTCTAGATCATGAGGGTTGGCTCTGTCACAGCTGAATATGAAGGTTGTTTCACTGCAAATTGAAGTAGTGTTGGCTCTTCCATTTTGAATTCTGTTAGGTTATTGATGATGCTTAAGAACAGGACAGTGACTGCTGCTGCCTTTCACACATATCATTAACAATTTCCAATTTTTCCTGAGGGATGATTCTGAAAGAAAGAATTTCCTAGCTAGCCCCTATACAATTGCTTACTAGACTCTTTCCTTCCAGACAAATTGTCTTGTTTTTGCAAAGGAATACCAGATAGGAAGAGGCCTAAGAATATATAAGAAAGGCTTTGAAAACAGACCTACTTGGTCATGTTCCTTCCAAGACTTGGGATAAGGAAATGAAATTTTATTTTAATTGTAGTGAAGTAGATAAAAACCCACTGGATTTTGGAAGCATTCTGTGTAAAACATGAAATATGTTGCAGAGGGCTTCTGGCTCCACATAGAATATTATATGGTTCCTTCTTCGTTTAAAAATTGAGTATATTAACGTAATGTAAGAAAATACTTTCTCCATTAGTAACACATTGCAGATTGATTGACCAGTCTTCCACAGAAATTTTCTGTCCTAGTTCTAAAAAATAAATTACCTAATCTGTCTAGGGAAAAGGGGTGGAGAGGCAGTGCGTAGGTCTTGCCCAGGGGTACAGTCTGTCTCATTCTTTTTTTTCTTAATACATTGCCTTTCTTGTTTATTACAGAAAATATATTAGTTCAGGGAAGGAATTGCTAGGAGGGTTGATTTGTGTTCTGGTCCACTCTGTCCCTTTGGGACTCATAAAATAACCAGGTCACAGAGTTTTCTTTGTTCTTACTCTGCTTCAATCTGCAGTGAAGATTTTGTAACAATACAGCAGTTGGCTACCCTTATAAGTTGTAAATATTCCAAATAAAGGAACTGAAAATATCTTGCTGAACATCAAGGATGGCTTTTTCATTTTTCTGGGAAATTGAAGTAATTTTCTGTATTAAAAAATTATAATTTTATAAAGGCAAATTTGATTTATAGCAAACTAATGTTTTGTGACTATAGTTCTTTCTGAAATGAGAAGTAAAATTGTATTAAAATGGTAAGAAAAAAAATAGTGCTTGCAATGATTGACTTTAAAAAAGTGATTTTTATAACATTTTTGAAAAATTGTGCACGGCATAAAAAGATTAGTAATTACTGTAATAATCTTTCATATGTTAGCTATAAGCTGCTTATATGCTACTTACAAGTGTTTGTGTACAGTATGTATAGCATGCCTCAAAGAATAAGCACTTAGCTAAGCATGGGTAGATAAACAGTGATCCAATATAACCTCTTTAAATTTATAGCAGGAACCTTAGTATAATATGATGTGAAATAGTAGTGGCTGATAGAGTCTCTTGTGCTCCAGCACTAGCTAATGTAAACATGACTGCTGTGTATCATGTACTAAAGACGTCTAAAACTCTGTTTTTGGCTATAAATGAACTCTTGAATAATTAGATCCAGCATATACACTTGTTTTTAAAAGGAGGGGTAGGGGTAGTAAGGCTCTAGAAACTAAATAAAACCCCTAACCTCAAACATGCTTTGGCAGCATTTGCTTCTATATACAGCTTACATTCACACTGCTGTTTTTCTTGCTGTGTGTTGATGGACATTATAGGATTTTTCCACTTGATACCTTGATACTGTTGATGGGGTTTTTACAGACACTTCCCAAACTGTTAGCAACTTAAGAACAAAAATGCAATCCAACATGAAAACTTAAGCCTCATGCAGAGGAGTTATTTTAAAAGACAGTGCTCATTTAAACTGTACAGTTTTTATAGAGATTTACATATGAAGATTTCTTCTCAAAAACGTTCTGCATAACATTTTCCTTATCTGCTAGAACTTAATATGGTATCAGAAAATTTGTAAGTTGTGCTTTTTGAGACAGCAAATGCACTTCATTTACAAGAATAGCGAACAAAATGCATTAATAACATAAATCAGAATTTGAGATGGCAGCTATGGACTTGTGACCTGCTGTTAGTTTTTCTGAATTTGTAAGATAAGGTTTAATAATGAAAAGTAACATCTTGGTAAAAATTGATTTCGATATGGTAAACACAGATATTTTGTTTCAGGTGCAAGAACTGTGAAGAAATGACAGCTGCTGCCTATTGGACAAGCAATAACCCAGAAATGCTGTTGCTAGCATCATAACTGTGCACCCAAAGAGGACATTTTAAAGTTGTATTTCTAAATAAGGAATGTAGTTATTTGTACTGAAGCAGATGACAACCTTTCTATTTTTCCAACTGTTAGTGAGATTATTGCCTTCATATAATAGCATATTAATTTATCTTTTATACTTCAGAATAAAATTTATTTATTTTAAGCTGTAGGGATGAATTTCAGCTGTCATCTTTTTCCAAGGTTTTTAAATTATGTACTTGTTTAGTATCTCACTTCTAAACAAAAGTACAATGGTACTACCTTATTAGCAATTCTTGTTTGGGAATATTTTATCTTCTTTTGTATGTATGCAGAGTTGCAGACACAACATCTTATTAAAATGGACCTGTTTGTAAGATGTTTTGGGTCAGTGATTTGATCATAGACATTGGTAAAACCTGCTTGCTTTACTTCATACCAGTGTCTTTGAGATGCAGAGTTGTTGGACAGGACCATAAAGCTTGCGCTTGTTTCTTTTGATATTTTTGATCAAATGAAAATCCATACAAAAATTCCCATAGATTAAATTCACATCATAACTATGCATTGTAAAACATAACTTATTTCCAGGTTTTCAAAAGTACTACACAATTTAGCTGGTATAGATGGCTAGTGGCCCCACTTTTATATTTACATAAGCATCAGGAACTGCAAATACACTTTTGAGGCCTCAGTCTAAGTCTGATTAATGCACACATGACTTATGTGCATTAAGACATGTGATTCATACTTCAGAAATTAAGTTACTGAAGTTATTTGATGTAAAGAAGAGGAAAATAATCAAATGTATTTCAGTTTAAATACCAGGCCTCAGTTAAGTGTTTTGCATATTAAAAGTGTGTCTTGGCCAATTAACTTACCTGAGGTATTCCAGAAACTTTGCAAGTGGCAGTTTGCTAGACTCCTTGGGCAGTACTGGCTCTTTCACTTTACGTAAACACCTTCCACAAATGTCACATGTTCTACATTAAGTGGTTCTACAAAACCAGCCACACATTCTGCTACCACTGACAGGTCAAGATACACTCATCTAAAGTATCTCTGTAGTTTCAGATTATTCTGCTATTATGAAAATTATGATGTGACAAAAACCACTGTTACTTACATATAATTAAAATAAATATATTGTGTGTTTTAAATCAAGGTATTTCTTTCTCTACCTGACTATAAAGGGAAAACCTTAGAAATAGGTTGACCAGTGCAATAATTGCAAATTAAACTACTTTTATTTTTTAACTCTCTTTATGTGCATCACTTTGCCTTCAGCCTAGAAGTGTATGCATCAAATTTTAGACAGATTTTTTTTAAAGCAGTGGAATATATGTCCTTCAAACCAGGATTTCAAGTGGAAAATATAACCAGTCTTTAATTACAGCTGCATCACAACACTAGTGGAATTCCACTAACTAGCATTGTATAAAGCCTCATTTGCTCCTCCTACATGCACTAAATATAAATGTGCAAGAGCAGCAAAAGTAATTTGCCTAATCTCTGAATCAGCTAAATAGCATTTGCACTAAAATTTTGTCTGTATACTAACTTATCTGGTTAAACTCTTGGTTAAACCTGATAAATAAGTAGAATCATAATTGTATTTTATCTTTAGATGTTTTGCTATTTTGTTGCTTGCCTGAGAAGTTAGTAATTCCACTTATACTGTTCAAGCCAATTCATTACTTTTGGAAAGGATGGACTTTTTTTAAATATAATCTCAGTTAAATATTTCTGTAGTGTCCTACTTCTTCTTGAGTTACTAACCAATTTACATGTATGCAATTCCTGGAACACTAAGTTCATTCTTCTGAAGTGTGTTGCATTTACACAGGGTTGTTGAGTCTTGGAAAACATTTTACTGTACATAATGTTGTTGCAATTAGCTGAATGCTGTTCATAAGGCTAATTGCTTATTAAGGTCTTTTTTTTCCTGTCACTCAGGACAGAAACAAGGGACTGATTTTCTTCCTGAATGTTGTATGCCTACAGTTACTGTATGTTAAACATGAATTGCACTGAAATGCCAGCCCAAATGCCCCTCTCTTTAATCCATAATTTATATGCAAAATATTTTCTCCAAAACCTAGACATCAGGCTGGCTGTTATTTTTTAAAATGTGTCAATTGTAGAATCAAAAGTGTTGAAAGAGATTTCAGTCTCAGCAAGAATGCAGTGAAGCTGGTTTGTTCAACATTTCCTGTCAGTTCTCCGCTGCAGCATACTTGCTTACATTCTCTGTTCTTGGTTGGGAGCACTGCCAAAAGGAAATGTGAGGAGTCTGTCCAACAACTTGTCTCTTTCAGAATCCACATACCATTTTGCAATTTGGGTTTCTTTTTCTGTAATGCCCATTAGAACTCTTACAATAGCAAGGCATCAGGGAAGAAATCCATTCCTCAATGTGTTGCAGAAGAACCAGGAGCGTGCTGTAGGTGTATGAATTCTAAACAGCTTTAGCAGAGGGATCCCACTCTGCGTGCAGTTTACTTTACACAGATGTGAGTGGAGGACTTAGTGCTACAGACCAATTGTAATTGTGGCAAGGCTTTTCCTGACAGTACTCTGCAAGCTGGCTATTCTATTAAAAAAACCCCAAACAAGTAGTTTACAAGTGCCTCAGTTTATAGATTAATCAAATTTTGTATTAATCAGTTTTGATAATGCTGATTATAGGCACATGTAAGAGCATCTGCTTCTATTTTGTTTAGTCGGAGATTATCCCTTAATCATGCAAGGTCCAGGTGTGCATTTTCAGATTTGTTGACTCAGGGAAGATGGAGATAGTATTAAAGGCCAGTCACATTATGCTGTCATTACATTTATGTTGTTGCTTCTCTGAAGAATTGAACCACTCAGTGAAGAGAATGGCAAGAAGAAATGTCCTCATTACAGGTTGCTCCTCAGGAATTGGACTGGCATTAGCTGTAAAAATGGCAAAAGATGAACAGAAAAGATTTAAAGGTAACAATCCATCTGTTCTTTATTAAAACATAGTATTTGAGATAGTGCTGTTTTTTTCCCTGCGATCTAACAGGTATTCAGTTTGGTGAGTCGTTTCTGGCTTGTTTTCCTCTTTTACTGTCAAGAAAATACAGTGAAAATATACTGTTTTCTGTAAGCAAATGATATTTCTATGCCTTTATTGAAATGGAACAGTTATTGGAACTGAATAGTGTACACCCACACACACAGTGAGAAAAGACAGTAGTATAAAAAGAATAGCTGAAAATACCTGTAGTATTATGCTGCTCTGGGTATATATTCACAGCTGTGGTTAGCTCTGCTTCTGGCTACTAAAATCTGTACATGTAAAGGCCTGTGCCCCTTTGAAGACCAAAGTGATGATTTCAAGTAAACAGTTTCTAAATTTGCAATTTTTTCCTTCAAGCACATTTCATTATTCCAAGCCTGTGTAGGCAGGTGAACAAAGGGGCTGGGATTTGTCTTACTGCTGCAAAGCAGGGTATTTGCTATGATTGAAAATGGATGGCAAGGTGAACACAGCAATCTGTGGCAATTCAGTCTCTCAGGGTATTTTACTGATAACTGACTGGATGCAGCTCTACAGCTTTCTGAGGAATTAGGCTACAAAAATAACCCATTTCAATTTTGAGATGTAGCTTACAAAAACACGTATTTTTTTGAACCTAAGGAAGTATGTCTTCCACTTTTTAATGAAATTATGGTTATCCTGCTAAATATTGTGGTGGTGATTTTTTTTAAAAAAGGGAATTCTGGAATCTAGAATCAGGTTTTGGGTACCTAAAAACAATTTAGTGGCATGATTTGATACCCATTTTTTAATATTTTGGTGATAGTACTAAGTTTATATACTGCACGTTCTTCATTATGCATAGCTGTTTAATTTTTCTTTTGAGTTTCTTGAAGATTTCAGAACTGGACTGCGAAATTAGTGACAATATATGTTGAAAATAGAATCCTTTAACTTTCAGTTTTTATCTGTTTTCTGTCACTGATATTTAAGATCTGGATGTAAAAGCATTGCTCTTTAATACTTCTCAGTGTATCAGCCACAGATTTTATTTCTGGTGTTGTTTCTGGTGTGTTGCAGTGTATGCCACAATGCGGAACCTGGCCAAGAAAGAGCCACTGGAGGAAGCTGCAGGTCACAGGCTGGGCAAAACCCTTGAAATTAAACAGCTGGATGTCTGTGATGAGCAGTCTATTAAAACTTGTGTGAATAGTATCCCTGACAGAAGGATTGATATCCTAGGCAAGTACAGGATGTGTGTGCTATCGACAGATACCAGATTTCTATTAAACATTGTTTCAAATACCCTGGAGAAGTTTCATTAGCATATTTTTTAAATTATCAAAGTAATAATGATTATAGAGTGTATTTGGTTCAAGATTTTTAAGACTTCATGCAGACATAAGTGGATTGAATCTCACCCTGCATCCATGAAGTAGAGAAGTTTGTTTTCCCTGTTTACAAAGGAGAAACTTGATCACAGGGAGGTGTTTTGGATAAAACAATACCATTTTAGTAAATGTGAGAGATTTTGCCTAAACTGGCATCTTCATGTGCAAGACTTTCCACCCTATTGATGAACCACAGCCCTTTCTATAATGAAGGTAACACCTGTCTGTGCTAAGAAAGCAACAGCATTCAGAATTCGCCAGAAAAAGAACAAATGCAAAAAAATAAGCATATTTCCATTTTGTATTGAGAATTGAAACTGTACTTTACAAATCATTCAGCAACAAGTATTTTCCTATTGTTTTGCTAAAAATAAATATTAGTATCTTAGTGGAAATGCTTACACCATCAACTATTAAATCTTACCTACTAGAAAATTATGGACCTGCCTTTTTTTTTCTGATTAATTATTAAAGCAGTGCTTAACTATTTCTGTAAAATTTATTATACTCTAATTTGATGTCTTCTAGAGCAGAATGCCAGTCCTATCATCATTCCCCACTTTTAAATATCCAGGAGGCAAATAAAAATCGATGGAATTGTGTGTTTCGGTTTGTTTGTTTATTTTGTTGGGGATTACTTCCTCTTGAAGATATATGAATATTAATAAGACAAAAAACAGACCAAAATATGGCTTGGTCCATCAATTTCTGAAGATTTCTATTCATTCCTATGGGTATTGACTGTAGCTTCCAATTCTTAATACTGAATTATAAAAAAATACAAGTAATTCTTGATTTATTTTCCTGTAATCCCTTTATATATTTTTTGAAAGGACTAATCAGAAATAAATTAGTTAAAATGCAAAATAGCAGATAATTTAAATTGATTAAAAGCACAATAAAAAATAAAGACATATGGAAATGTCAAATGTATTTGGAAAGCTCCAGTGACTAACATCTTTTAATTCTTTCTTTAAGGATTATTTAGGATAATTTAACCCTTAATCCTCGCATTCCTTGCAAATGCTTTCCAGTAGCGATTACAAATTTATGTTTATGGAGGTTTTTGCTTGCTGTTGTCTCCCATTTTGTGCAGTGAGCAATGCTGGAATGGGGCTCATTGGACCTATTGAATGTCAGACCATTGAGGAAATGAAAACTGTGATGGACACCAACTTCTTTGGTCTGGTTCGACTCCTGAAGGAGATCTTGCCTGACATGAAGAGGAGAAAGAGTGGGCATATAGTTATAATAAGCAGTGTTATGGGAATACAAGGTAAAACTGGTTTTTCTGTTTGCTTGAACTAATAGATCAGTGTTCAAAATCCAGAACTTTCCTCTTTTTAGGGAAGAAAAAAAAAGAAAAAATAAGAGGTAGGAGCTAGCATATCTGACTCTTGTGCTTTGTAATGCTGAAGTTCCAACTATAAAAAGCACCTGGTGGGTTTTATGCTTTCAGCTAGTTAGTTACTACACAGCTACTCTCATGGCATTTTAAGAACAAAACCTGCAGGGAAAATTTTTTTAAGAGTTTTAACTTAAACTCTATAATTTTTTTAAAATTTATTGTTGTATTTTTATTATCTGGAAAATAGGACTTAGCATTACTTTTTTCTTTCCTCTTGGAAAAAATCATGGGAACAAACATGCTTACGCTATACTCTGCACAATAATAATAAAATAAACTCTAATCCTGGACAGCTGTATCACCTTTTTATAAAGTTTCTCATCTCACAACACTTGAGAGTCAACTTTTACTGACAGACAATGATACTCTCATGTCCCATTCTCTCTAGCTGTTTTTGGTTTTTTTTTTTTAATTTATTGCAACTGTTACATTGATCTTACCTGGATTATTCTGGTGAGCAAGGGTCCTCTATCTAACTCCAATAATTGTTATTTTAATACAACACATACCCTCCACCTCAATGGATTGAATGTAGTGCTTTCTCTAAATCACCCAGATGCAAGCTGGATCTCTTGCATAATTGTGTCTCCTGCATTTCACTCAGCCTCTGTGTTCATCTAGAGCCTATTAAAGACTTGCTGATAAATAATGCAGATGGGATTATATGTGCAGACACTTTCATATCTTAGACTACAAAATAATATCATCCAAGGAGACCACAGCATCAGCTAGGGGGAGGAAAAGCATTAGTCAAGCATCTTTGCTAGACTAAGCAACTTTGAGAACACAGGCAAAAAATTAGTATTGAGATTCAGTGCACACAAGGATTTTTCTAATGTTTTCCCAGCAAGACTGTAGAAATTTTGGGGAAGCACATGAGTTTTTATAATCACAACTATTAGTATATTGGATAAAATCACATTCTCTGGATGTTTTGTTTGTACCATCAGGCATCTTATTTAATGATGTTTATGCTGCATCTAAGTTTGCTGTGGAAGGATTCTGCGAAAGTTTAGCTATACAAGCACTCAAGTTCAAACTGCAGTAAGTATTGATCCACTGGTGTAAATGGCATTGATTCACTGGTGTCAATTGTCTTTTAGATAGTTTAAAATATTTTCTGAGGTAGGAAAAAAAATCTTTAAAGCTTGCTGCTAAACAGACTGAGAAGCCCTTGAAAACTGTACAAAAGGCATAAAGATGCCCACACTCTTCACATTATATAAGCAAATAAAAAGATCTAAATGTTAAAATAAACACATTCTCTTGAACAGTTAAAGACTGTTTAACTTTGGATAAAATACAGTTCACGTAACACTTCTGAAAACAAATTCTTACATATGACATCACAGGCATAAAATTATAACATTAACCTGTGATCCTTCCCCTTAGAAAAGATGATGGCCTTCTTAGGCAATTGACAGATAAAAAAGTATCAGAGAGAATGAGCAAGTGCAAATCAATCCATCAGAATGTTACACATTCTGTGGTGTTCTATTCCTAACATTTTAGACAGTATTTAAGAGACTGGTCTGTTCATCATCTTCAGGTTTGATTTATCACATGTTTACTCACCCATATAATTCTGCTATTATTCTTTGTGTAAACTCCAATAACTGGTTAATGTCCATTGCATCTCTGTGTGTCTAAGCATTTAGACCTTGTGGGAAAAAAGACAGCTGCTGTTGTGGAATTTCAGAGACAGAACTGTGATTCTGCATCATGCTCTGCAAAGTTTGGAGGGATTTAAAATAAATGTAATGATACACAGGACATACCACAATTCATGGTGTGAATTCATTATCTCAAATAATGAGATTTCAAGAGTATAAGACACAGCAAAAAGGAGGTTATAAAAGGAAGTATAATAGGAAAAATTCAAGGTCTAATGGGAAGAATCATGCAAGAGAAAAGCTTTAATTCCAGCAGTAACTGGAATTCTGCCGTGAAGGTCAATAGCTTGATTTAGATCTAAAGAAGAGCTTTTAGAACATCCCCTGAAGAACTCAAGTCTAATAAGAGGCCCAAAGATTGGGTGTTTTTGATAAACACAGTGGCTGGGAGTTATTACTCTGCCTGAAAATAGAAGAATAAAGTTATTTTCTCTGCCTGAGAAAAGAACCAGGAAAAATCTTACCAGTAACTGTATTTCAGTAATTTGCTATGGGCAATTCCCCCATCTTTTTCAGCTACTTCTAGTGTTATCATGTGAAACAAAGAAACCTACACAGGATTTGGTCTAGAAAGAAATGAATTTTGTTACCATCCATTAATTATTTTTCTTAATATCTGGTAAGTCCCTGTGAATAAATCACCCTTAGATTCCACAGCTGTGAGAAAGCAGGTAACAACTGCGCTCACTTATGTCATGAATTAAATTACAGCACTTCTCTGAAAGTTAAACTATGCAGATTTCTACTGCTGTATGGGGATGGGTGGGAGGAGCAGGACAGCAGTACTGCAGAATGGATTGCCTTTACAGAAGGTACTGTTATATACTGTTTGCTAGTGCAACTTTTCAATGTTCCTTTTGTAGAAGGATTGAGGGGTGTATTTTCCATGGAGGATAGTCAACAACCAGTTAGCTTTTTTTTTTTTTTTTAACAGGTTAAGTTTGATTGAACCAGGGCCAGTCGTTACGGAGTTTGAAAGAAAAGTGTTTGAAGACGGAATGAAAATGGATCTTTCAGCTGCAGATGAAGAAACAGCTGAAATGTTTACTAATATTTACCTTAAAAATTACAAACAAATTTTCCAGAGCCTAGGACAAAGTGCTGAAGATGTTGCAGAGGTAACTCATTAAAAAATCTTTTTTTTTTTCTTTTTTTTCATTGTAATTTACAAATGCAGTGGTTGGTTGGTGGGTTTTTCTAGTAGAAGCATTCCATTTAATTAAATGTAATATACACAATTAAAAAGTTTTTTTAAAAATTCAAAACAATTTTCAGAGTTTTAAACAAAAGTCTACAGAATACTAAAAGAATGTTCAGTTTGAAATATTGAAGACAACTATGAATTATAATCTAAGTATCACTGAGATATTAGCTGCCCTTTACATACTCTGATGAATATTCTGCATTGTTACCATACATCCACCCAGGGTTCCCAACACTGGTAAAGCTCTGTCCTTTCCATCTCACTCGTAATTTCTCCACTAAGGGAAGTTCACTCAGACACCCCAGGCCACTGAGGCACAATAAAAGAAACATGGATGTTTCTGGTGCTTGGAGCTTCCTGCAGGAAGACAAGTTTAGGCAAGCTGTGGGAGAGGATGATGATTTCAGGTGTTTGCTAGTAAGGAATATCTTCAGCGTCAACTGAAGATTCCCAGATCTTGCTGCAAAAGGCACTGTCCTGAACGTTTCCCGGTGAACTGCAAAAGAGAGGATCTACCTACTGTACACATATAAGCCCACAATAATTTGGAAGACCACTCAGGATACTTAGGTGTCAGGTGCTAGCAGCATGGTATAGAGAAACAGAAATAGAACTAAGAATAAATAAGAAATACTTCTTACGGGCTTTAAATATTTCAAGAATAATTTCTAATGATATTCTAATAAAACTACATACAGGGTTTTACATAATTCTAGCACTTTATTTGACTACTTTTCCACAGTTAACTGAAAATTGGGTTTTTGCTTTACTGTCTTGGTAAAGGTTATTTAAAAATTCTATTTCTCCTTCTCTACAGCACACAGTAAAGATAATTCTTGCAGAAAATCCTCCTTTCCGCCATCAGACCAACACCTTGTATACTCCAATGACAACTCTGAAGTATGCAGATCCAAATGGAGATCTACCCATTGATATATTCTACAAAATGGTTTTTCAGCATGACAAAATCTTCAGTGCAAGTCTCAACTTCATCAAATTGCTACGGTGGAGAAGCAGAAAGAGCTTTGACCTGGGAAAGCCCTCACAATAATTATGAGATTATACTGTGCAAATTGGAATTACTTCTTGTAGCTACTGATGACACAGTATGTTGTTATTCAAATGTCTTTGGTCTGCAGTTATGAAAAGGCATGCAAGATGTTTGAGCTCAGCTAAGATATTAATTTCAATGTGTATCTCTTGAATGTTACAGTTTGCAGAACCTTGGAACTAAAATTCTCTAACTATAGTTTTATTCTGTTCAGTGTTTGCTTTTTCCAGAGATGTATTCTTAGGAACATGAACACTGACTGATACTTGTGTATTCAGTATTAACCTGACCTCCTTGACTTACTTGGATATAATTCACACTGAGAGGTGTACAGTATGCAAACGATTTAGATTCTTAATATAATAAAAATATGTTTTTACTTATTAGGATAGAATCAGTATAGTAATCCCTCAATCACACACTGGCATTCTCATTTCCAGAAGTCAGATCTAGTTATCAGCAACATAAGAGAAAGTCTCATCAATCTTAAAATATAACAAGTAGAATATTTATTATTCATATATACTTATTATAATATTCTGAATGCTTCCTTTATATGCAATGGTTACTAGCCTATTGCACTTAGTGAACAATAAAATATTTTTTTAAAGCATCTTAAAATACCTTCTTACTGTCTGGGTACTACTTTTTGAAAACAAAATATTGTCAGTAATAAGTGATCTCAATCCACTTAATGCCTTCGGTACCTTCAGTGTCTGACACAGAACCCTCTTGTTCCAAGCTATCCTAATAAGCATGTGTTAAACCAAAATTCTACCATGTAGAGCAGGTCTTTTCCCTAGTTTTTTCTCAGCCCTAGTCCTCCAAGTGGGCTGAGGCCGAGCAGGGTGACTGGGCTGCAGTGCTGTTCCTGCCCGGCATTCCCGTTCCTGTCCGGCATTCCTGTTTCTGTCCGGCATTCCTGTTCCTGTCCGGCATTCCTGTTCCTGCCCGGCATTCCTGTTCCTGCCGGCATTCCTGTTTCTGTCCGGCATTCCTGTTTCTGTCCGGCATTCCTGTTCCTGCCCGTCATTCCAGCTCCCTGACCTCCGGCCCTGCCGGCTGCCCCGGGCTGAGGCAAAGGGCGGGTGTCCCTCGGGCCTCCAGGCTGCAGTTTCTCAGCACATTCCAGCAGCTGTCCTTGTTTCACCCACAGAGCCCAGCTGGAGCTCACTCGCCAGGCAGGAACTGTCTTTCTCTTTCCTTCGATACCGTCTCAGTAAGCCAAAATCTTAATTCCGTGCTGGGACTTGCAGCGGCCTTGCCCCGCCCTGCCTCTCCCCAGAGGAGCTGAAAGCTCCTGCGCGTACCAAACACTGCAGGGATAACGCAGCTAATGCAGGGCTTGCTCTGCTCTTGTGACCCTTTTGTTGGGCCCAAGGTGTAGGGGCATGCAGGGCAGGCCTGGGCCAGCAGGCAAGGGACTGAGGGGACGAGAGCATCCGCAGCAGCCCCTGTGCACTGCTGGAGGCCCCAAACACGTTCCTAGCTCACACCTCCTGCAAAACACCGGGTGTCTGGAGCCCAGCATCAACGTATGGATGGCAGAGGTGGGAAGAGCAGCGAGGCTTGAAAGGAGAAAGAGGGAATTAAATGGCAGCAGTGCTGCCGGGGCTGAAGGGAGCCTGGCACATCGCCCCTCTGCAGCCCGAGATCTCACTGCCACCTGCTGCGGGTCAGTGCTGGACACAGACACCCACAGAAGGGCTGGGCCTGTCAGGAGCCCCTCAGTGTCGCTCAGCTGTGGTTGTCTCTGCCCTGCCGCTCGCCCTGGCCTGCATTCCCTTCAAGTTGTTTTCCTTTGCAGTATAGAGCAAGGCAAGACCAGGACTATGGGTCTAATGGGCCTTACACAAACACTATTGTGGTTTGGTTATTTCTCCCTCACACTACTGGTTATGGAGTGAGCGAAAGCAGAAAATACACTGTAATAGATGGCTGCCGAGGAAAACCAGCCCTGCCTGCAAGTCGTAAATAAACAGCGGATGAAGCGCCGAGCCCGTCCTGCTTCAGGGACAAGGTTGGCGGGGCTGTCAGATCCCCTGCTACTGCCGGAAGCGAGGGGAAGGGCGTGTGGGGCCCGAGCGCAGCTCCTGGCGGAGGAGGGCGGCTGAAGGACCCCTCGCCGCCGCCGTTGCAGCCGCCGCCCGCACGTGGCGCCGCGGCCTTTCCAGCGCTGCC